AGGTATTCAATTTAGTTTTCTAAATTCATAAATCTCTCTTTCTCAAACATCATCACTCTCACGATTCACCTCCATTTTTCATTACAATTTTTTTTTTTTCAAAATCAAACTAAAAATCATGTAACATCCTTCTAATTCCTCATGCTACTCAATTTCATCTCTATAATCAATCATGATTCATAATCTAAAAAACCCAGATTTTTTGAAGAAAAAAAAACCCAGTCTTTTTTGTTTTAAATCAGAATTTCTCATCTGATTCTTATCAAAATAAAGAAAGTTCTTCAAACCTTATGAATTTCATATCCTATATCGATCAATTATCCATCTTTCTCAATCCATTTTCTCTTATATAAAATCGAATCTCGTGTTTAATGTAAAAAATTTCCGACAATGAAGAACACATAATATTACTAGTACAACTAGTACAACTGAAACTAGTATAACTGGTACAACTAGAACATGAATAACTAGTACAACTACAACTAGTATAACTAGTATAATTAGAAGGTGTATAACTAGTACAACTTTACAACTAATGTAACATGCCAAGTACTACAATTAGAATGTGTATAACTAGTATAACTTTACAATCAATATGGTGAAACTTGATTTTTTTAGCATATGAATATTGCTAGAAAAGAGGATGATGTGAAACTAATGAGGTTTGATAGTTTAATCTTCCCGCATGGATTCGTAAAAAAATATTTAGTAGTTTCTTTTTATAATATTTCATTTAGACAATGATTTGTTTTACTCGTAGTACTAGTTGTACTATTTTCTAAAAAAAAATCATTTTCATATTTTTTTGCTATTAAGTCCGAAGAATGCAGTTGCGAAGCTCAAAAAGTCTCCAATGAAAACGGATTTAGATGATGCATAAAACATCACGAGTTTGAAAAGAACCCATAATCATTCATGTTTGATGATTATAATATGACAATTATATTATAACCGGTTTCACTTGGTAGTAATAGTAGTATTACTAATTCAAGTATGACAACAGTTGATTTGTGTTATTTTAACAATGATGGGTAAACTTCTCGCCCCCAAAATCTATTTTCTTGATACAAACATGAAAATAAGAGACATGATGAAATTTTCATATTTTGATATGAAAAGATGACATACAAATGTTTGTTGTATCTCCATATTTGATTTCTAATAGCTTATGATTCTTATCAATAGAAATATACCTTCATAAAGAGAATGAAAGCATATAAGGTACAAAATTGGAAGAAAAATAGATTATGTATGACCGGTATAACTGATACGACTAGTACAATAAAGAGAAAAATAGGTTGACTGGCATAAATAGTACAACTAAAAGAAAAATATGTATAGTTTTTGGAATATCTTTTAAAAACTTATGTTGCTTTTGGTGTTAAAACGTATGTTCATTTTGATAATAAAACTTATGTTCCTTTTGAAGCTAAACTTTTTTTATGGGATAGTTTTTGAAACTATTAACAATTTATGTTCCTTCTGAAAAAAAATTGAGTTTAGTTAAATGGTATAACTAGGATAACTACTCGACATTAGTGATCAATCAGAATGGTATGACTATGAAATAATATTTAAAAATGGTATAATTAGGACAACTACTTGAAATTAATGTTCAATCAGAGTGTTTAAAATATTATACACTAAAATCCAAAAAACTAGTTTGTAAATATAAAATAAAAAAACGGAAGAAGTTGTACATAGTTGTACTAGTTTTTTAGTTATACTAGTCTATACATAGTTGTACTTTGGCAGTAAAATCGAAAAAACTAGTTGTACCACATAAAATTAAAACTTAACTTAGTTGTACCATTTCTGTGTGTGTACATGACTTTGCCCCAATACATTAAAATCATCAATTTTGTTAAAACACCTTTGATGTATGTTTTCCAAAAAATATGTGGACAAAGAAGTTAACAAACCTTAAAAGTATAAGGCAAATCATGCAAACTTATGTGATTGTGTTATATTTGCCAAAAAAAAATAAAAACCATTGCATATAAAAATAAACTTATCTAAAAACTCATCCATCGAGACATTTGATTGTTTTTTATCATATGCAACACCCTATAAAATATTAAAATTTCAGAATCTACATAGTTTCACTAGTTGTACTAGTATGTTCTTTCTGGTATTTATAACGTAGTTTGACTTGTTTTACTACTATTACGATTTGTAGTTATATCAGTAGTACCAGTATTACAACACAGAAATATGATTGATATATTATATAAAATTTTACGAGTTGTACTTGTACTACTTGACCAAAACAACACATTACATAAATGTATCACCACCATAATCAAAATGTATCTCCATAATCAAAATGTATCACAACACATTACTATAAAATTTTCATCACTAATGTAGAAATATTTTAGTCTCCACCATAATCAAAATGTATCACCACAGCTCCACTACCATCCATAGTTCCTGAAAAGAGTTAAAATCAACATTATAACTTACAAGTTATATCAATTATACGAGTTCTACTGTCGCTAAAAGACGGATACTAGTATTACCAGTTAGACTGGTTTACATGTAACAACCATTATAAGTTATATTAGTTATACTAGGTAAACTAAGTTGACTTTTCAAATGATTACTAAAAATTATACAAGTTTTACCCATACTCTTATTCAATGTTACTTAGAGTTGTACTAAGTAGTTTTACGTTTCATATAACCAATATCACTAATACTAGTTCTTTCAGTTGTACTAGTGTTACTTTTAAAACGTTGTACCAGGTCTACTAGTTAAACGCTTCGTATAACCAATACTAGTCATGTCAGTTGTACTGGTGTTACTCAACATCAGTTGTACCAGTGTTACTCATGAAAATTGGACGGCCGAGATTAGAACTTCCATCATCTGATCTAATGGTTCACATGCTACTTTCATTAATGGTAAAATAGTAATTTTAGAGTCCTTGGTCTATGATAGATTAGAATTGGTTGCTATAGACTTATTTATGTCTTTTTGTCCTTTTATAGATTTTGGTCCCTCTTCTCCTGCTTTTTAGAGGTGAGATGTTGCCCCCGTGGTGAGGATTAGTCAGAGTCGCTTAACTGATGGAAAGGATATGAGCGTGATAATATATGATGATGCTCATGGTCCTATTGCTCCTACTTCTGCCTCAATTGCTCATGCTTCTATTTGATTGTGTCAACATCTGCCTATTTCTCCTCTGATTTTCCATGTTTAAGACTTTATATCTCAGTGTTGGACCTGGTGTGCTGTAGCCACACTCAACCTTACTTCGAAACATGACTTTAGATTGCATTTCTTGAAGATTCTCTGGCCTTATGAATTGATTCAAGGTTTTGACTTGCCCCTGCTTAAGAATGCTTTAGTTTCCCATTTCATGTCTTGGCACTTGCTACTAACGATAAGTTACTTGTCATGTTTATCCTTACTTTCTTTCCCATGGGACAAGCTGTAAGAAGATATACGATACAGATCCTCCATTTATTATATCTGATATCTTCTCCTCTACTTTAGGAAGCTTATGTTAATATGTAACCTAGTCTCCAAGTCTCACCTCTGTATATAAGTGTTTTCACTTCACGTTAACTTAATAAGAGAAATACATTTCATAACACAAGCAGTATCAGTCTTCCCATTCCAAATATCTAAACCGCAACCCAAGCCAGCAAATCCACCACCACCAGAACCCTCACCAATATCCTCATCACCAGTAACTATCGTACCCACAACAATCTACCCACAACCACCTCCTCCTTTGAACCAAAACCCGCCACTCGTGCAACAAATGGGGACTCCGAGCTCAGGTTCTCATCAGTCAGGTCAGGTAAACTCTCAGACTCCTTCCATTAGTATTACTAACGAAGGTAATCTGAGTGCAGAGTTCTCGGCGGAGTCCTCTAACTCTGTCTCTGCAACATCGGCTGACTTTAGCTCCTCACCCTCGGCTCCTGCCCTGCAGAACACACCCTTGGTGTCAACTTCCTCTACTGATCCAGTGAGCTCATCAGCAGAGCAACCTCCTGCACATATCAATAATCATCCAATGGTCACTCGCCGCAAGAACTACATCTCGAAACCAAACTCGAAGTACAACTATGTGGCAGCTCTGTCCAGACACTTTCCAGCAGAACCAAACACCTTGACTCAAGCTCTGAAGGACAAACGCTGGCGAGGATCTATGTCAACAGAAATTGACGCCTTCGCTCGCAATGGAACCTATGAACTCGTTCTTCGCAAGCCTCACTTCAACGTAGTCGGTTGCCGTTGGCTCTACAAAAACAAATTTTCTACAAAAACAAATTTCACTCCGACAACACCCATCGGTGTTGTAAGTCTCGCCTAGTCGCAGAAGGAGAAAACCAAGAGTATGGTCGTGATTATACAGAGACGTTCAGCCCTGTATAAAGTTGACAACGCTTCGCTTGTTCTCGACATAGCTATCAGCAACTCTTGGCCTATACAACAACTAGACGTCAACAAAGCATTCCTGCAAGGAACACTAACGGAAGAGGTATACATGGATCAACCACCAGGCTTTGTAGACCCTGACAAACCAGACGGAACACTAATGGAAGAGGTATACTTACATTATATAGCATTTAGACAACTGATTTGTGTAAGAGGTTATGTAAAATCTGCGTGTTTCATATAATAATGGAGAACAGGGACTTGCAAGATGAAGATCACATTCGAGAAAATAACACTTAAAACATAGAAATCTATGGCAGATTCCTTCGTTTGAGATCCCTGAGGCTTCCAGACAGTTTCCAGAGGTGAACTTAAGAGGGTCTTTGAAATGTAAAAAGAAAATAAAAAATTCTGCTTGATGCAACCCAGGTATTAGTTTTGTTTAACTCGTTAGAACAAACACCAATTATATCGTATTGACTAAGAAGTGCAATGATGAACTGCAAAACCATATCTTTAACAGGCAAAGATGGGTACGAGAGCTAAAACAGATGGAATCAAGATCGACCAAGTACAAAACATGTAAAAGTAATGATAAGATAGGCTTAGAAAAGAGATGTTCCCTTCCCCTTCTTGTCTCCACCGATCTCAAAATGCTTGCACCTCTGAAGAAACAAAACAAGACACAATGTAAGAACTACCAAGTGCTTGCAGATATAGCAAGAATGAAGAATTAACGTATGAAGATGGTTCGTTATAACCTTGATCGAGTGCTGAGAAAAGTGCTTGCAGGTTTGGCACTGAAGTCTCAAGACAATCTTTTTAGTGGTCTTAGCCTGTTCACTGGCCATAGAGAATACTGTCTTCCATGCTTTCCAAATGGACTGAAACCGTCAGTACATAATCCAAGATAAACATTTCTTCTCTCTTCCGCAAATTCTGGATATGTTTCTTGGAAATGTTTCCAAGCTTTTGCATCTGAAGGATGTCTAATCTGACCATCTGTGGAGTGCTCTGCATGCCATCTCATTGACTTGGCTGTGCGTTCTGACTGATACAACCTCTTCAATCTATCTGTCACAGGCAAATACCNGCAAATACCACATCTTTTTGAATGGCACCGGAACTCTTCCCCTCGTATCTTCCTTATAACGCGGTTTCCCACAAAATTTGCAACTATCTCTGTTCTCATCCTCTCCCCAATAGATCATGCAGTTGTCGATACATACATCTATCACCTGATACGGTAAACAAAGACCCGCTACAAGTTTCTGGACCTCGTAGTATGAACCTGGTGCAAGATTATCTTCTGGTAGAACACCTTTAACAAAATCCGCAATCGCATCCACGCATTCTTCAGCCAAATTATAATCTGTCTTAATACCCATCAATCTAGTTGCAGATGATAAGGGTGAATGACCATCTCTGCAACCTTTATACAAAGGTTGTTTTCCTGCATCCAACATGTCAAAAAATCTCCTCGACTGTGCATTGGGTTCTTCCCCTCTATAATGGTCATGTACTATCTGCTCAGTACCAACCCCATAATCTACATCCGTTCTAGGTTCTTCTACCCTATCAACAGGTTCTTCTACCCTATCAACAGGCTGAGGTTCGCTAGTACTACCGTATTCATAACCAGTTTCTCCATGAAGATACCAAACCTTATAATTCGGTGTAAACCCTCTCATATATAAATGTTGCCAAACATCCCATTCTTTTANTGAATTCTCCAATACCTTCCATGTATTCTTGCGTAAGTAAATTGGTGTTTGGATCCATATGTGGTTTATCCATCCAAGAACGAAAATAATTGTAAGAAGACATTTTTCGAATGAGAGAGTGAAGAGTGAGCAAAGAGAGAGTGAAGAGAGTGAATGAGGTGAAGGAGGAGAGGTTGTATTTATAAGAAATTTCATACGGAATTTCGACGGATTTCTGACGGTTTTTAAAAATACCAATGGCTATATATAAACGGTCATATTCTTTCTGCAACGAGCAGAATATTTGTCGGAATTCCGTCGGATTTACCGACGAATTTCCGACGACCCCAACGGTCAAATATTTTATCGGGATATTGTCGGAATTTCGTCGGAATTTTCCGACGAACCTGTTTTGTCGGTAATCCGTCGGAAAATTCCGACGAAATTCCGACGACGTCGATTTAGTGGTTTTGGTCGGTATGTCGTCGGAATATCGTCAGAATTTTCCGACCACATATGTTTCCGTCGGAACGTTCGTCAGGATTTCCAGTGTTTTCTTGTAGTGCAAGAAATACATCTCAGCCTAAACTACGTTAAGATCCTAAAGCTACAATACAAATGAATCGCTACATTTGATTAAGGAGAACTAAAACTTGCTCAACTATCTGTAAGAAGAAGAAGTGAATATATAATACCTTCTTGTGGAAGACGGGCTTGGTCTGACCACCATAACCAGATTTCTTACGGTCATAACGACGCTTTCCTTGAGCAGCGAGACTGTCTTTACCCTTTATGTATTGTGTCACCTTGTGCAATGTATGTTTTTTGCATTCCTTGTTCTTGCAGTAAGTCTTTTTTGTCTTTGGAATGTTCACCTACAAATTAAAAATAAATAAATACAAAAAACGGTTTATCATTTCAGAATAAACCTTCTCTCATCAAATTAATATATTTTCCTGAAACTAGAGATCTTGAAAACAAGAAATTAATCAACCATGAATCCGAATCTATTAGAAATCGAAACGAGCTCTGTTTGAATCGAGTTTGGTGATAACAAGTAAATAATCGACGGAAACTCACCGGTGGGTTATTATGAAGGTGTAAGCGAACAAGTGAAATTGAAGAGTGATTTTATTGATCGAAAAGTGAAGGTTACAAAGAAAAAAATGATGCTCGGGAGCTGTCAGAGTTGTACGGACCGATCTAAGAACAACGCTATAGTGAAACCCTAGTTTGGTTGCCGCTTAGTCAGTCTATTTTCGAATCCCTCTTAAGTTCACCATCTCTCCACTTTTATAGGTCGTTGTACGGAAGACCTAATGGGCCGTATCCCTTGCTTCTTGGGCCGTATAGGCGTGCCGGATCGTTTACTCGGTACAGATGATGACGTAAGCTTGCTCGGCTTCCTTGTCGTGTTTCGACCGAGCATTCTCCTCGCCTAGTCGAACCGAGTAATGGGCTTGGGCCTCTTATTCGACGGGCCTTGAGGGATGGATTTGAATCCATCTCCTACAATAAGTCCCCCCCAGTTCAGCATGTTCGGTGCTCAGGCTTGGTGAAATGGAATTGCGGTGGTCGGGAGAATAAGTTGCTCGGTACGAACCGGAGTCGGTTTAGCTTGACCGTAATGTTTTGCCTCGATTTATGGGCTGGTTTGATCGGAATACGAAGCGTCTCGGGCCGATTCGCGTGTCTCTAGGTGCGTTTTAAGCCTAATAGGCCTCGTAGACCTAATTAATGCGCGTTGGAACGCGCGTTTACCTTCCCCCCTATAAATAGTCTCCCTCTTGTCTCATTTGTTCATCTTCCTTGCTCTTCACAGGTACCTTCTCTCTCTTACTTCTTCTCCTTTCTCTCTCTATCATTCTTAGTCGATTTATGTCTTCTGAGAGACGTCTGACACCGATCGAGAAAGGTAAAGGGATATTAGATAATTCCGACCTCCCCGAGGAACAAGACTCTGTCCGACGTCGGATAATCGAATCCGAGCTAGCTCATCAAGAAGCTCTACGCGAGCAGGAAGGACTAGATCTATCTCAACGATTACTCGTGATGGTCGACTCCGAAAGACTTAGGCGGGAAGAAGAGGTCGCTAGAACGCGAGCTTCTTCCGAGTCGAGAGGAGGTTCAAGTGGTTCTCGGGCCAGGGAGGCTCCCGGCAACTCTCTTTGCTCGGAGGATGAGCCGATGATTCCCATTCATTTTTTTCCCGACCAACGAAGGTAGAAGGACATGATTGGGAAAATGTTCTTAAGACCAGATCGACCATTGAAACTGTAAAGACGATTTTGAGAGATCGGGGAGGGCAAGGCGTGACGTTCATCATTCCGAACGACAATCAGAGGCCTTGGACGCCACCGGTCGGGTATCAATGCGTCTACAAATCATATTTCCAGAAGGATACTCGTCTGTGGTTTCCAATTCCCCGACTGATCACCTCTTACTGTTTTCGTCGGGACGCGGCGATCTCCGAGTTCATCAATGGCTCTTTCCGAGTGGTTTCCAGCTGCTCCTTTGTGGGTTTCTGCCATGACAAGGCGCGCTTCTTCGCCGTGTAAGCAGCGTAGCAGGACTTTGTTCGACGTCCATCGGTAGAGGATCCCATCGGTGAGCACGTAATTTGTACTCTTCGTCTTAATGCGTCGAGCTAACCACTTCTCGGGGGGTAGTGTACCGTCGGCGAGGTAATTGATGATCGACATTCACCAGTCGGGAAACTCTTGTTCGGGTTGGTCGATATGTGGAGCGTGATCGTCGTTGCCTTCTTCATCGGGATTGTCGTCGACATCCATTGACTCGGAACCGATGCCAAGGAAGGCTGTGGTTCCTTTGCTACTGTTATGCTCGGGTTGTCGATCTTGTGTATTGGTATAGTTCGCTTCACTTGATCGTAGAGCTTACTTCAAAGCCGCGAGGGCGTCTGCGCACACATTCTCTCCTCGCGGAACCTTCGTTAATTCGAATAAATCGAAACTCTTGGCGAGGTCTTGGACGAGTTTGAGGTAAGCATCCATTCGCTCGTTACGAACATCGTAATCCCCATGGTATTGACTGACGACGAGTTGCGAATCACAGTAGGCGCATAGACTTTTTGCGCGGACTGCTTTTGCTAATCGGAGGCCGGAAATTAGCGACTCATACTCGGCTTCGTTGTTTGAAGCAGTGAAACCGAAGGTGAAATATTGTCCGATGAGTTCGCCGGTTGGGGACTGAAGTTGCACTCCCGCGCCCGATCGATTGGTATTAGTTGAACCATCAACGTGTAGTATCCAATTTTGGTCGGGTATGACCAGAAGCTGTTCGAGGTCGGGATCTAGCTCTATCGTAAAATCGGCGAGGACTTGAGACTTCAGCGCGACGCGGTTCTTGTAGGTTATGTCGTATTCGCTAAGTTCGATTGCCCATTTGGACAGTCTACCTGAATGATTGGTGTTGTGCATCACGGTCCGCAGCGGTTGATCTGTAAGGATCTCGATCGCATGCGATTGGAAATAAGGGCGGAGTTTTCTAGCGGAAGTGATAACGGCGAGGGCCATTTTTTCTAGCGTTGGGTAGCGCGTCTCGGGGTCTGTCATCCGCTTGCTCATATAGAAGATCAGTTTCTGTTCCCTCCTGTCGTCCTTTATCAGGATGCTACTGACCGCTCTTGACGATACCGCAATATACAAAGAGAGGATATCCCCATTATCTGGTTTGGCGAGGACTGGTGGAGTTGTCAGATACTGCTTGAGCTGAGCGAATGCCTCCTCGCACTTATCATCCCATATGAAGCGTTTGTTGCCGCGGAGGAGTTCGTAGAATGGTAAACATTTATCCGTAGATCGCGAGATAAACCGGTTTAAGGCTGCTATTCTACCGGTCATTCTCTGGACTTCGCGGGTGTTTTTCGGACTCGGGAGATCTAATATCGCTGAGATCTGCTTGGGGTTCGCTTTGATTACTTTCTGCGTGACGATATAGCCGAGGAATTCCCCGGACGTTACTCTGAACGTGCACTTCGCCGGGTTCAATTTCATTCCATATGCGTTCAGTATATCGAAACATTCCCGAAGGTGGAAGAGATGATCGTCGGCGTGAAGGGACTTGACGAGCATATCATCGATGTATACCTCCATCGTCCGTCCGAGCTTATCGGCGAACATCTTGTTAACAAGTCGTTGATAGGTAGCGCCGGCATTCTTTAGGCCGAAGGGCATGACTTTGTAGCAGTATGTCCCACGATCGGTGATGAAAGAAGTTTTTTCCCTGTCGTCGGGATGCATCATGATTTGATTATACCCGGAGAATGCATCCATGAAGGTGAGGAGCTCGTTTCCGGCTGTCGCCTCCACGAGTCGATCGATGTGCGGGAGCGGGAAGCTATCCTTAGGACATGCTTTGTTGAGATCGGTAAAGTCTACGCATACCCGCCATTTCCCATTTTTCTTTTTGACAACAACGGGGTTAGCGAGCCATTCCGGGTACCGTACTTCAACGATCGAACCGGCGTCTAACAGGCGATCGATCTCGTCGTTGACCGCCTTTGCTCGTTCGGGGCCGAGGCGGCGGCGTTTCTGTCTTATCGGTTTGAACGTCGGATCCACGTGGAGTTCGTGAGTGGTAATAGCTGGGTCGATTCCTTTCATATCAGAGGTTGTCCAGGCGAACGTTGAAGTGTTTTGTCGAAGGAAGGCGATGATGCTTTCCCTCATGTCATCTAGTAAATAAGCGCCTATTCGGACTACTTTACTCGGATCGCTTTCGTCGAGGATAACTTCGGCGACCTCCTCTTTATGTGGGTAGATTTTGTGTACGGGCTAGGTCACAACATTGACGTGCAAATTCTCCTGTCGGAGTTTTACGGCTGCGACCAGTAGTTCGCGCGCCGCTTGTTGATCACCGCGTAGAGTTCGGATCAGGCCGTCATTTCCCGGGAATTTGACACATTGCTGTAAAGTAGATGAGATTGCCTTCATTGTGTGGAGCCAGGGCGTTCCTAGTATGACATGATAAGGTGCGACAGTATTTATAACCGAGAATTTCACAGTTTTTGTTACACCACCTGCGTATACGGGAAGGCGGATGGTCCCGATCATTTCTTCGGAAACTCCGTTGAATCCCGTTAGGGTTCGATTGGAAGGTTTGATCTGTCGGAGGTCGATCCCCATTTTTTTGAGCGTGTTTAGGAAAATAAGGTCCACAGAGCTTCCCGTGTCAATTAGGACTTTCGTGACATCGCACTCGCCGATCCCGAGCTCCACTAGCAGAGGGTCGTTATGCGGCATGTGTGCGCCAACAGCGTCCGCTGGTGTAAAGGTGATTGGCGGGCTATCCTCCGGTTTGGATGGCCACTTCTTAGATGCAATTGCCTGGCGTTGGTGGGCTTTAACCGATCGGACCGAGTCTCCACATGGGGGGGAGCCACCCATGATGATGTTCAGCCGCGTCTCCTGTTTTGCTCCCTCTTGCACTTGGACGGTGGGAGCTTTTCTTTTATTGAGAAGCTGCCGTAAATTTGGCGCTTTAGCTTTATCCAGCGTGTGTCGCAGGTCAGCGGTAACATGCTGGGGAGAGTTAGTCGCGACGGCGGTCGTGCCTCCCTGTTTGCGCGCCTTCTTCGAGTTGAGCTGTTCGCGGAGGTCATCAGACCGTCCTCCTTGACGACGAGAGTTAAGATATGTCCGAAGGTCCGAGGATCCGGTATCGTCGTCCGAGGATTGTTCTCCGTGCGAGAGGATGACTTGGATTCGCTTCCTATTTTTTGGTTGCTCGTCGTCTCGGAGGTGCTCTGTTGCGTTTTCCTCGTCGGATACGCCGGAGCGGGTTTCTTCCTCGCGCTGGGATTTATCGTTCCTTTTTTGGACTTCTTATCTTTGTTTTTGCTCCAGCTCTTTTCGGCGTTAGTCCGTGGTTTTGGAGGCTCGGCTTCTATCTGCCCGGCTTCGTAATTCGCGATAAGATGTTCGCCCAGATGTCTGCAGTCCTTTGTATCGTGGCTCTTGGTATTGTGATACTTGC